ACATTCTAATTTATTGAGTTGCACCTGTATATACAAACATAAATATATATCAATAAAGAAACAAGTAAACAAATAAATTAATCACCAATAAATAAACAAATACATGACACTGTATCACTTCTTTTCTTGTTATTTTCTGATAATGCTTCAGCAAATCTAATTATGAATTTATCTAAATAAGTTGTGGGCCTATAGATTATGTTTTTTAGGCCATTTGGTGTTATGGACTAATAAATATGTAAGCAGCGCCTCCACCTGTACATCCTGCTTTTCACACGTGTTTATTGGTTCTCAGCTTATTTACATGTTCTCAACATAAAATGTTTATTGTTTTTGACACTTTCACTTTTGATAAGAAAACCAATTTCACCAAAATACAAAACTTCAACCTAAAATGAATTTGAATATTTTTTTTATGGCTTATTCGTCAGCTCTCTAGAAAACTTGATTCTGTACAATCAAAAACAGGAACAGGCCACAAACAGACTTCTCCATATCTAACACTTTTACATTTGGATGTACCATTGCACTTACTTAATAGATTCGTTTATTCATTCATTTTTGTGCATTAACAATGGCAGTAGACACATAATCACTTTCCTTCATTTCCCATTTTCCTCACCTGACTGACTTCCTCGTTCCTGGAAAGTTACGCTTATGAAACCATAGAAGGCGTCAAGACAGTGAGATGCTCATATAAAGCGTTTGAGCAAATGCATTTGCATTTCACCTCAAGCACAGACTGCTCACTGAGAAACACTATGTGTTTTGTATCCCACCTGAAAAGAAATGTAGCATTGCATCACTTGCTCACCAATGGATCCTCTGCAGTGAATGGGTGCCGTCAGAATGAGAGTCCAAACAGCTGATAAAAACATCACAATAATCCACACCACTCCAGTCCATCATTTAACATCTTGTGAATTGAATAGTTGCGTGTTTGTAAGAAACAAATCCATCATTAAGGCTTTTAAACTTTAAACCGTCGCAGCTGGCCAAAATATGAGTTCATAATTCATAATAACAATTCCTCCAGTGAAAAAGTCCATCTCTTGTCATCCTCTCACATCCAAATACTTGTTTAGAACTGTTTTGGTCTGTTTTTGCTTGTGAACAGTGCTTGATCTGTGCATATTTCTCTCCTGATTCAGACAAAACAACTGGAGGAAGCAAGAATTTCTTACAAAAACACTGATGGATGGACCGGAGAGGTGTGGATTACTTGTGGATTATTGTGATGTTTTATCAGCTGTTTGGACTCTCATTCTGACGGCACCCATTCACTGCAGAGGAACCATTGGTGATAATGCTACATTTCTCCAAAGCTGTTCTGATGAAGAAACAAACTCATCTACATCAGCTTATTTTCATTTTTGGGGAAACTATTCCTTTAAGCAGTGTGTGTCTCTGTATGTGCACGTCTGCATGAGAATCAGAGAGAAAGAATCTGTTGCTACAGTTAGTCACAACCCACTGGCACTTTTGTCTTCAGCTCAGAGACAGCATCTCCAAACTGCAGTCGAATCCATTCTCCATGCTGTATGATGGATCAAATCCAATGAAAAACACACAGAGAAAACCCAATGGCAGGTACAAGGCATATTTAACATGAACATCTATCCTGATAAAGGTTCACTGAAACAAAATATCAGACAGCCTTGACTTTTGTTTTATTTGTTTTTAATGACTATATAAATGCTGTGCTTTAAAATCACACGAGTTTAAATATAAGAAGTAAAGCATCTAGATTCTATATACAAACAGGGAATACATATACAGACAAACTTTACTTTATGTAGCATTCAAAACACACAGACTCTGAACACAGTCCAGGCAGTATATTACATCCTTTTCTTCAAGGGCCATTCAAACGACTCTCCATTTGTATTCAGTATAAAAGGTGCTGCTCCTGTCCAACCGATTCTGGCTGGAACTACCAACTATTAGTTCTCCTCGTGGCACTTCACATATTAAAAACTTTAAATCTAGAACAAAGAGGTTCAGAAACCAGAAAACATTCTAGAGAAGTCATTTTTATAATAATAGAGTCAACATGAAATCACAATTGACTATTTGCTTTATATTCATAATGCATCTAATTGGTCAAAAACACAGTTTTATGTGAAATAATATTACAATTTAAATAATTGTTTTCTGTTTTGAATATATTTATTACATTTATTCCTGTGATGCAAAGCTGTATTTTCAGCAGCCATTACTCCAGTCTTCACTGTATGAAAGCCGGTTTCCACAAAAAAAATTAAAAAGGTAACTGCAACTTTTAATCAGACAATTCAGAATTTTGTTCTCGTTATTCTGAGAAAAAAAAAGTCAGAATTGCGAATTTACAATTCCGAATTCATATCTTGCAATACTGAGTTTATATCTAGCAATTTTGACTTTTTTATCTCACAATTTAGATTTTTTTTCTTCTTCTCAGAATTGCGAGTTGTCACAATTTATTAGTTCATATCTCACTATTCTGAGCATTTTTCTCGGAACTGCAAGAAAAAAAACGAGAATTATGAGATATAAACTCAGAATTGCAAGAAAACGTCCAAATTGATTTGCTGCTAATTTCTTATCATTATCAATGTTGAAAACAACTGGGTTCCTTCATATTTTTGTACAAATCGTGATACGTTTTGTTCAAGATTCTGAATTGAAAGTTCAAAAGAAATCTTTCATTATTTTGAGCACACTTTTGATCAATTTGATGCATTCTTGCCGCATAAAAGTATTAATTTCTTGAAAAAAAAAACGGTAGTCTAAATGTCTTTCGGCTATTTCAGACAGGTCACATTAAATATCCAGTTTCAAAGATTAGGGAAATCAAACGGGTTGCACAACAAGCATTTCATGTTGACTTTACGTGGAGATGCTAAGTGCGCGTCCTTTGGGTGTAAGGAAGTAGCGTTTGCTTCGGACAGTCCTGGACATGAGCACGAACAGATACGGATCCAGAGCACTATGCAGGCAACACAGACACACGGCCACACTGAAGTAGATGTAAAAACTCTCCGTGGATTGAAAAAAAAAAACGGTAGTCTAAGTGTCTTTCGGCTATTTCAGACAGGTCACATTAAATATCCAGTTTCAAAGATTAGGGAAATCAAACGGGTTGCACAACAAGCATTTCATGTTGACTTTACGTGGAGATGCTAAGTGCGCGTCCTTTGGGTGTAAGGAAGTAGCGTTTGCTTCGGACAGTCCTGGACATGAGCACGAACAGATACGGATCCAGAGCACTATGCAGGCAACACAGACACACGGCCACACTGAAGTAGATGTAAAAACTCTCCGTGGAGCCGACAGACAGCAGAACGTAATGCACAAAATGAAGGCAGCTGCTCGGGCCGAAGCACAAAACGAAGATAATGAAGTTAAACGTGCTAGCTCTGATATAAAGAGCCCAGTCTCGGTGCGAACGGTTCAGGTGCCAGACGATAGAGGTGTAACATGCCACAGTCACCACTAGGGGCAGGAAAAAACCTACACAGGTCAAGCCTAAATTATAATAGATAAGCCACTGGTAGTAATTTAAATCAGCAGGAAGAACGTCATGGCATGTGATTACTCCGAGATCTGTGATGCGGTAGCTTTGTTGCACTAGAAATTCCGGCACAGTGGCGATAATAAATATAATCCAAATGGTTAAGCAACCCCAAGTGCTAAATGAGCGCTTTGGTAAGCTCTTAAAAAGGAAAGGACGCACCACTGCTATGTAGCGTTTGATGCTAATGCATGCTAATGTGAACGCGGAGCAGTAAAGATTTCCGTAAAAACAGGCGGTTGTGATACGACAAGCGGTTTCGCCGAATATCCAGTTGTTTCCACTTAGATGATAGTGTGCTTTCAGTAACAGGCTGAACAACAGCAGCAAGTCGGACGCTGCCAGGCTACAGTACAATATAGCCGACGAAATCACCCTCACTTTGGTTCCAGCGGAGACCAAGATGGCGATATTGGCGGGGATGCCGACAACGACGGCTATGATGTAGACAGCTGGGATGAACCTATTGCTCAGAGGACCTTGGAGGTAGTTTGCCGTGTTGTTGCTTCGTAACATGACTTCGACATCAACGGCGGACGGGAGGACATGTGTTTGGGGGTCTGTCGTTCGGTTTGGAGGAGGAGGGACGTTGACTGGGATGGCGTGTCCTTGAAAAGTCCTCGGTCTGGCGATGTCAGTGCTGTTGTGTTTGACCTTCCTGGCCTTCTTTCCTACAAGTAGACAAAGCAAAGAGTTAGGACAAGAACATACTTTTGTTTGTATGCAAAAATCATATCGCCACAACTAAAATAATTGCATGATTGCAAGTTAACAATTCTAATTTATTGGTTTAATTCAATATTTTAAATTGCAAATATTATATTGATGAGTTCTTTTGACATCAAAATATTTATCATTGCATCTGCTTGATATTGTGTGCAGTTTAACATTAAATATTTGCATTAATTGATGTAAAAAAAAAAAAGTCTAGGAACTTGAAAATTGGGCAGTGGATTTCTAGTTCCCAGCATGCTTTATAGGACTGGATAAGGAGAATAAATATTGAAAATTAGTTATTTTATGTGTTTATATCCAGGACTGTCTGAACCATCTCAAACTATTTTAATATATAAACCATATAGGCCTATGTGTATGAATATAAAAACATGCAGTTCATATTAAAGGGGTCATATGATGTTGCTAAAAAGAACATTATTTTGTGTATTTGGTGTAATGAAATGTTTATGCGGTTTAAGTTTCAAAAAACACATTATTTTCCACATACTGTACATTATTGTTTCTCCTCTATGCCCCGCCTTTCTGAAATGCGTCGATTTTTACAAAGCTCATCGGTCTGAAAAGCGAGGTGTGCTCTGATTGGCCAGCTATCTAGAGCGTTGTGATTGGCCGAATACCTCAAGCGTGAGACGGAAATGTTAAGCCCCTCACCATACTGTGATGCCGTGTCCCGGCCGGAGTGACGAGACAAAAACATTAAAGTCCATATTAATTACTGGACTTCGTTTTGTACTGAGAGGTAAATTTGCAGACGGTCCCTAAAGCAGCCTAGGCGAATGTCTGGCGAATATCGAACCTAAAACTAACTTTACCCCGCTAGTTAAAGACTGTCTAAACCAAGAGAAAAATCCCAATAAACCGCAGGCGCAGCCCTCAGACACTCAAGTGAGCGTAACTCTGGATACACAAACAGACAAAACCCAAACAAAACTGAGCTGCAACCCTAAACACTGCAGCAATATGCTTTCAATCACCATGTGTGATTAATTATTATCCCGACATTCCTGAAATGGCGATTTCTCGTGAATAAGGAGACATGTGGGGCCATCCCTCAGAAGACTTCAGCGTGTCCAACATTAGATATTTTTCCAGACACAAAGGAGAGGTAGGTAAGCGCTCATACTTTGCCTGTCCTTAATTAGCTTTTTCTATATATTTAAACAATGTTTATATTTTATTTATATATAGCCTAATTATAAAATATTAATTAAATGATAAATACATGAATTAATTAGGTGAAGATAAAGCAAGTTGTTTCAGTAGCGTTATGCTCTCATCTGTGTCTCAGGTGAACTGCTGCGCTTTCTCACGTGACTGTCAGATTCTGCTCACGTGCTGTGATGACGGCAGACTGTACCTGTGGAAGGCCAACAATGCACAACATCTGGCCACAGTTCGCGGACACTCAGGTACATTAAAGGGATAGTTCACCCAAAAATGAAAATTCTGTCAT